GAGTGTAGGGCCTGAAAAGAGAGAGTCCACATAGCCAGACAATCCTGCTGCTAGGGTGCCAATGCCTGAGATGATGGGGCATCCAGGATTATGGATCTTGGGTAGCAAATAGAATACCGCTGGTCGGGTTCTGAATCGCTGATGCGTGCGCACTCCCTTCCTTCCTTCCTCCCTCCCTCCCTCCCTCCCCCCGCCCCGAGATTGAGTGCTCTGGATAACAGAAAGTTGTAAACAAGTGTGACTAGCGAATAGAAAAACATTTTACAATGACTACATTACAGCTTGGCCATAGCACAGCACAGACCCAACCCTAAGGTGAGAACTCAGTGGAGGTGCCCTGTTTATAATTGTCTTTAGTGTGTGCAGTGTCACAGGAATGAGCGGCTATAATGTGGTTCTCACAACAAATATTTTGGTGGCCTCGGAGTGCTGCCACCAACTCTTGCCAGTCGTCACTCTGACAATTTTTCCTAAAAAACGTAATTAACTTTAGGAAAAACAAATAAATATGTACATATCTGTGTTCAAATCATTGTAATTTATTTATACAGGGTTTTTTTTGCGAACTCAAAATAATGTACAGTTGTTGTCTCTGTTCTTTACTGGACCTACACAGAATAGAAACACAAATAAGGTGCTTTGCATGTTCTTGTCTTCTGCTTTTTAGGTTGTTGGGGTTTTTTGGGGTTGTTTTTTTAAGACTTGCTAGCTGGTAAGTCTGCTGCTGTGAAAAGTAATATTTGTACATGTGTTAATATCACTTTTCGAAGAAACAGACATACTAGCTAGCTTGGAGGCAGAGAAAAGTGATTATTAATAAACATATAAATATCACTTTTCACAGCAAATTTACTCAGCCCCTGCTAGCTGGGGGACAAATTAAGCCCTGGATGGGGAGGTGGGTAGGAAGGCAGCAAGGGCTAGGAGTGAGGGAGGGGTGGTGAGCCTGGGGCTGACATCCGCTGCAGCATGGCTGGGGCTGGAGACCAAAGGCCCGTGGCCAAAGCCTGCCACCCCAGCCAGAAGCCTGAGCCCCACCACCCTCAGGAATGTAGGGAACTCACACTGCCTGCCTGCTCCTTGGGCATTTGTGGCTTCAGAGGAAGGCAGGGCCCAACTCCTGCTGGTGGCTCCAGAGGATGGGTTACTGCTCTCCCCTATCACCCACCTAGGAGTCTGTGACTGCAAGAAAAGCCCCTGGTGCCGTGTTTGAGAAACGAATGACAGGAAATAGGAGAACAAAACCCTCACAAAGTTATGTAGCCCTAAAAGTATGTACCTCATGTGTTTGTTCCACAGCTGCATAGGGTGTGAGGATGTCCTTTAGAAGAAATAGATGTCATCCTCTGCCTCCCTGGGTGATTCCACCACACTGTGCCAGTTCTTCATCTTCCCCTGTGCAAGTTGTGTGCACATATGCCATCCTGATTTCCTTTGGCTGCCGGGAACCAGGACCAGTGTGAATATGCATGGGATCCAGCTGCCTGTGCAGAGCTTTTAAACCAGACTTGTCCTGTGCCCACTCGGGATGGAAGCACTCCCCTTCACCCTCACAAATGCTATACAGTGTGTGGCATGCAATGGCATTTGCCACATTGACATCCAGATGGGTGCATAGGCTACACCCATGGGATTTGAGTCTACTAAACACATGCTCCATGACCATTGTGCAGCTCTACTGGGTTTGTAACCGCACTCCCATTTTCCAGGGTCATTAATGTCAAAATATGGTTTCATGAGCCAAGTTAGGAATGGGTATGCGGGATTCCCCAAAATAACAGTTGGCACAGATAGACCATACAGAACAATATCATTTCTGGGGAATAAAATCTCCTCTTCCTCCTTCAAGTACAATCCTGATCTCCTCAGGACCCTGGTGTCATGAACCTTTCCCATGTTTCCCAAGTGTGTATTCATGAATCTGTCTCTGAGGTTCATGAAGCTTTGCAGAATGAGTCAATAGTAACCTTTTTGGTTTGCATACTCGCCCCCTGTGGTGGGCAAAGTATTGGGATATGGGTATCATTGATGGCCCCTGCACAGTTTGGAAACCCCATCCTTGGAAATTCTGTTTGTTACTTCTGGAACTTTTCTTATGACAACCACCCATGGGTAGCTCACAGTGTTACTTGCCTCACAGACCTGCACAACCACAACCCCGACAGTGGACTTTCCAACCACAAAGTGATTTGCAATGGACCTATGGCTATCTGGTGTTGCCAGCTTCCACAGGGTAATACCCACCCTCTTCTACACCAGAATGGCTTCCCTGAATCAAGTGTTTTAGTGCTGGAGGTTTGGTGCATACTCCTCAGATGGCTCCTCGAAGGTCTGTTTCTTCACTGGGACATTCTGAAGCCACTGCTGGCCATCTCTTGTTTTCCAAAACCATGTGATCCCACCACACTTTGCCGGTCCTTCTTCACCAGAAGCAACAGTCCACCCAAGGGCATACGGTGGCAATATTGGCATTTACCATATCTGTATCATGTGAGCTGAACGAATTGTCCTTGACCCTCCGGGTCAGCCACCTTCAATATGTCAAAGTTCTGCTCAAATTCCATTGAGCATTTCACCAATCACCTACTCCACTGCATAAATGTTTGTCTCGCAATAAGGAGCAGGAGCAGAACCGAGCACCATTCCGTTGTTTCAAGTCTTCCACCCAGCTCAGCAAGAATAGCAATGAGGGCTGACGTGATCAGGAACCGCCATTGGCAACTGTGTGGGAGATGGTAACAACAACACACAGCAAACTGGTTCCTAGAGCGTTTCCCTGTCTGCACAGAACCCTGGGACGCCATCCCTGAATTGGTAGCGCTAACCTAGCCTAACAGCAGCATGGATGTGAGTGTATACGTTTACACTGCGTTTCACCATGTCCAGCACAGCATTATGTAGATATTTGGCATTTTGTGGGGAGCATGCATAAGCATGTACATGGTCGAGTACTTAAGTCTGCATGCCAGTGTAGATGTAGCCTGTGTTCAAAAGCATCCCCATTAGGTGGGGAGCCCCAGACCTAAATCCAGGCCTGAACGAGTAAATGGGAAGCGAGGCATGTTCAGCAAAAAATTCCTTGCTGCCTCCAAAGGAGTGCTTAGTTTGATTGATATGCGTTTTGACAAGCTCACTTGAAAACCTATTTTTCTGCTTTTATTAATGTAATTTTGCCAACAGCTAATCCTCAGTGTGGCTTTTTATGTATACGGAGCGGAGATGTTTATGCGTGAGAAATAACTGTGGAGCCTTGTGTGTTCATTTCTCTTGAGCATGTTTTGCACTAGAAGCTGAATTCTCCAGTTAATTGAATGGGTTCACATTGTAATTATGATCTCCTGCGAGTCTCTTTGTTAACTTTGGAGTCTCCGTTGTAACTTCAGATTTTCAGCAGGAAAAACTTTATAATGGAAGAACTTGGGGAGTCCATTACAAGATCGCTTTGATGGCATTAAGAGGTGAAACGAATTTCCGTGCAAGTCTTCAGAGATTCCTTAGGCTTGGTCTACACACAGTGTTTGTATGGGTTTAACATTTTGGTTAGGAGTGTAAGTTTTTTACCAAAATAGTTATACCAGTACAACCCCCAGTGTGGATGGCACTTATGCTACTAATATAGCTTATTCCCCTTCTCTGAGAATAGCTATACTGACAGAAAGCGCCTTTATACTGGTATAATGCATTCCACGCTAGGAGGGCTGTTCTGCTTAAATGAAACTAGTATCGCTAAAGTGGTATAACTTTTGTGTATACAAGCCCTCAGTATTGGTATTATGCAACATTACAGCAGCACAGTGTTGTACGAGTACATTTAAACTCCTGTGCTGATGCAATAAAAATGTGAGATAAGACTTTAACTCTCACACTGTTCTATAAAGTCCCTGTTATGGTATCACCATGAAATATCAATGCAAGCTTCTACTGCCATTTAACTGCTGGTGTAGTGGTACATAAGAATGGCCATACTGGGTCAGACCAAAGGTCCATCCAGCCCAGTATCCTGTCTACTGACAGTGGCCAATACCCGGTTCCCCAGAGGGAGTGAACCTAACAGGTAATGATCTAGTGATCTCTCTCCTGCTATCCATCTCCACCCTCTGACAACCCCAGAGGCTAGGGACACCATTCCTTACCCATCCTGGCTAATAGCCATTAATGGACTTAATCTCCATGAATTTATCCAGTTTTCTTTTAAATCCTGTTATAGTCCTAGCCTTCACAACCTCCTCAGGCAAGGAATTCCACAGGTTGACTGTGCGCTTTCTCCACACCACTCATGATTTTATATACCTCTATCATATCCCCCCTTAGTCTCCTCTTTTCCAAGCTGAAAAGTCCTAGCCTCTTTAATCTCTCCTCATATGGGACCCGTTCCAAACCCCTCATCATTTTAGTTGCCCTTTTCTGAATCTTTTCTAATGCCAGTGTATCTTTTTTCAGATGAGATGAGGGAACCACATCCATACACAGTATTCAAGATGTGGGTGTACCATGGATTTATATAGGGTAGCACAATAAGTTACTATATGGCAAACTGGCGTTTGAGACTGACTTTCTCTCTTGCTTCCTTGCTCTTTAATAAACATTGTAGCTAATTTGAAAATGGCGATAATTGGCTTTGGCAGAAACAGCATCCAGCCCTTCTCAGCAAGAAGATGGTTAGCTAGGAGAGAAGGTGTAAAGACATTAAACTATACTAAAATGTATTATGGGGATGGAGACTTCTGAAATGCCCATCAGAAAAAAAAACCTCCACAAATTTTCCCAAATCCAGGGAATTCTCAGTCCTGAGTTACCACTATCAGGACCAGCTGTAACATTATTGTAGCAAATGTAGGCCTCTGTCAGGGGATGTGTTGCAGTGCTTAGATTCTAGTGTAGCAGGAATAGAAGTTACTGTGGGACACTTATGCTCTGAATTTCCTGTTATTTGTCAATCATTCCTTTTAATTACACATTGTTATTTAGAAACAATATATCTGTTTTGTTTTTGTAAACAGAATGCTTCCAAGCTTTGATACTGGTGGATAGAGCTGATGGAAGCAATCTCTTAGCATTGACAAATGGTATGTGTGCATCTCAACTCCATTTATTCTACACTCTCCACTATTTTGTCATCTTGATTTAATCAACAGGAGCATAAAGTTGAATAAAATAAGCCTGAAAAACCTTACTAGTATTGCATGTAGACCAACTGTAGTGTTAGTCTAATCAGGCCCTACTGTGTTTTCTTTTTCTTGGTTTTCACAATTGTAGTATGTATGTGCGGTTCCCTTCAAGGGAAGATGTGACACCTAAAATGAGAAGCATCATGTTTTCTGGTATAGCAATTAGGGAGAGAAGAAAGGCTGAGCTCTTGATGTATTTCCTGGTCAAGCCATAAAACCTGTGGGGATAAATGTGAGTAGCTTATCTCTTTTAGAAGTAAACAAAGGGTTTTAGAAATGGGGCAGGGAATTCATAATGGAAATGACTAAATTTTTTTTGGCTTATCACTTTAGTAATTCCTAAAAGAGCAGAAGAGGAAGGGAGAAGAGGAAAAGCTTGCTGCAGACATTAATGCATTGACAAGCAGCTCATTCATGGTCTGGTCCTAGTTCATGGTTTCTCAACCTTCATTGCACCACCCCTTCTGACACAAAATTTATTACACGACCCCAGGAAGGGGGACTGAAGATCGAGCCCCTCTGCTCTGGGCAGGGGGCCAAAGCTGAAGCCTGACCCCCATCACCTTTGGGTGGGGGGGTTGAAGCCAAAACTTAAGGGCTTCAGCCCCAGGTGGGTGGGGGCTGTAACCTGAGCCCCAGCACCCAGGGCTGAAGTTCTCCGGCTTCAGCTCCAGCTATGGGCGGTAGGGCTTGGACTTTCGGCTTCAGCCCCAGGCCCCAGCAAGTCTAACGCCAGCCCTGGCGACCCCATTAAAACAGGGTCGCAACCCACTCTGGCATCCCGACCCACAGTTTGAGAACCGTTGTCTTAGTTGCTCGAGTTTCCCACTGATGTTAAGTGAGAGTTGCAGGATCATGATGTTAAACTGCAAGGACGATCAAATCTCAGGCTACGTCTACACTACAGACCTTACAGCAGCACAGCCACTGTAAAGTCTCCCTTGTAGCCATTCTCCCATCAGCATGATTAAACTACTGCCAAGGAGCAGTGGTAACTATGTCCGTGGGAGAGCGTCTCATGCCAACATAGCGCTGTCCATACCAGCGCTTTTGTCAGTGAAACTTTTGTTGGTCAGGGGTGTGAAAAAACCCTCCTGACCAACAAAAGTTTTACCCACAAAAGTGCTAGTATAGACATAGCCTCAGTCTTGTATTAGCACCTATATTAAAAGAATGCCTTTCACCTGGTTTCGGTCCACAATGTGAATTCTCTTTAGTCTAATGATCTGGGGGAGGAATGTCCATGAATTGGTGAATCTAAACCACTGTAAAAACAATGAGGAGTCCTTGTGGCACCTTAGAGACTAACATATTCTTTCTTCCTGTTTGCAACCTGTTAAAACCCACCATTTGTCAAACAGAAATTATAAATATCAGACTTCTCCCTCTCCCCACCCTCTGCCCCATACTTTACTTTTTCTGTAAGGCCTCATGAAAAATGTAGTGATTTGCCTTAGAAGAGGAAGCATTAGTTAACCAGTCCTATTCCCAGTGCTGACAATATCAATGACGCAGGTTTGTAGAGTTTACATTATTGTATTAATTGTGGGCGATGCAGGTGTGCAGGGCTTAAAATTACTGCACATTAAGAGAAGTTAGTTTTTGCCTTTGAGTGAAACTTTTGTAAGATCCCTTTCAATTTGATGATCTATTTCATTATACTTTTCGTCTGTCATTAGTTAATTCTGTTTAAAATATAGTATTGCATCATGTGGTGATGTAGAGGACACAATAAATCCAGAAGCTTGTGTATGTGAATGAATGCTCTGTAGAGTATTTCAATAAAGCATTTACTGAGATGAGGCAATCAGTCTCCCAACATAAAAATAAAGGGCCAAACTGTGTCCTGATTTGCACCTCATAAAACTCTACACCAGGGGTCGGCAACCTTTCAGAACTGGTGTGCTGAGTCTTCATGTATTCACTTTAATTTAAGGTTTTGTGTGCCAGTAATACATTTTAATGTTTTTTAGAAGGTCTCTCTCTATAAGTCTATATATTATATAACTAAACTATTGCCGTATGTAAAGTAAGCAAGGTTTTCAAAATGTTTAAGAAGGTTCATTTAAAATTAAATTAAAATGCTGATCTTACGCCGCCGGCCTGCTCAGCCCACTGCGAGCCTGGGGTTCTGTTCACCTAGGCCGACAGCAGGCTGAGTTGGGCCTGCGGCCTGGACCCTGGCTGGCAAGGGGCTGGCAGCCAGAACCCCAGACCGGCAGCAGGCTGAGTGGGGCCAACAGCCGGGACCCCAAACCAGCAGTGGGCTGAGCAGCTCAGCCCACTGCCGGTCTGGGGTTCCGTCCACGGGCTCCTGCCAGCCAGGGTCCTGGCTGCTGGCCCCGCTCAGCCCACTGCCAGTCTGGGATCCCGGCCCTGCCCACATAGAGTGGGTACCTACCTTCTCCCTGGTTCTAGCCCATTCTCTTCCTCTCTGTCTGCACTGAGCTGAGGGTGGGAGTGCACTGAGCACAGGGCTGGGGGTGAAGGCGCAGGCTGGGGGATGGGGTGTAGGGTCTGGCCAGGAGCTAGAATGAGGGAGGGGATTCAGGGTTGGGGCAGGAGGTTTGGCTGTGGAGTGCTTACCGGTGCAGCTCCCATTTGGTGTGAGGGGTGCATGTAGAAATGTGGGAGGGGGGGTGCAGGAGCTCCCATCTGGTGCTCATGGGGGGGGGGGTGAGAATGTGGGGGGTGCAAGAGTCAGGGCACAGGGTGTGGGCGGCCTGGGAATGTGTGGGGGTGCAGGAGTCAAGGCAGGGGATTGAGGGTGTGTGAGGAGGGTGCAGAAGTCAGGGCATGGGGGGGCTGGGTATGTGGAGAAGTGCTGGAGTCAAGGCTGGGGTTGTGGGGGGTGCAGGGGTCAGGGCAGAGGGCTGGGTGTGTGTGGGGGTGCAGGGGTCAGGGCAGGAGGCTGGAGTGTGTGAGGGGTGCAGATCAGGGCAGAGGGCTGGGTGTGTGTGAGGCGGGTGCAGGATCAGGGAAGAGGACTGGGATGTGTGTGAGGAGGGTGCAGGGGTTGGGCAGAGGGCTGGGGGAGTGGGCTGGGGTCATGGGGATGCTCCCAGCCCCCTACCCAGAGCGGCTCACTGCCATTAAAAATCGGCTTGCGTGCCGTCTTTGGCACGTGTGCCATAGGTTGCCGACAACCCCTGCTCTACACACTACACTGGGGTTGCATAATATGCAAGTCAGTTCACAATGTGGCTCAAACAATGCAAACTCTGGGTTATATTTTAGGTTTTGGTTTTTTTTTAATAAACCAATATCTCTACTGTTGCACTATGTATGTATATTTTTTTATGTATAGTAGCTGTATGAAATTCCAGGGTTGCAGCTTGATCAAACTTAGAAGATTTAGGGCAGATGCAGTTCAATATTCTGATCCTTGTTGGGGAGAAGGAGGAGATAAATGGTGGTAGCCCATTTCTCTGCAAATTTATCCAAGTCCTGTAGGTCAGTGCTACTCAAAGTGGAGGTGCCAGTCCGCGAGCCATCAGCTGCCGGTCTGCGCGCACATCGGGGAAAAAAAATTGCCGGTCCCCCACATCAGCTAGCTTGAGAAGCACTGCTGTAGGTGACGCACTGATCTCTGTTCCACTGGAGAGTCTGTAAGGTTTATCTAAGTTCTCTATTGTAGTTTGTTTTTATTAAACTGTTTCATTAGCACACGCTCTTTTTCTTTCTTTTTGGCTAGTGTAATTCACAAAAGTGAAGTGTCTTTAATGTATTTGGTATCTGATAATGTGGTGACTTCTAAGTTTAATTGTAAAAATGTAATGTGAAGTCTTTGTATATTATTTTTTAAAGTAAACGATGTAACTACTGAAGATGGGATGCAGAGAAGCAAACCTAGGTTACAGCCTTCTATATCAAATGAAAATACAACAGGTTCTCCTTTGTGAGTATACAGGTCACATTTCAGTTTACTGTAGTCCATTCTTTTAAATATTCTTTGTCTTGCACAAGAGACTTTGGCACTAACGCTGTAAAATTAAATGTTTAAACGCAATTTTGAATCATGGTTATGGCCGAAGCCTTGGAGTTTATAAACTGATCTGTGTGGAAGACTTGAATGCCCTCCAAGTTACAACATGAGGGGGTGTGTTTGCCTGTAGCTAGAGAAGGGATAGAGTGATAAAATTTCGCTGTGTATGAGGGTGTGCAGTTAAAGCCATGGATAATTAAGGTACTGGGCTGGGACTCAGGAGATTTGAGTTCAGTTCCCAGCTCTGCCACAGACTGTGCAGGACCTTGGGCACGTTCAGCTGCTGTTCTGTAAAGGGGGTTTTATGATAGACAAAGGAAATATCTTGTCTATTTAAAGTGTAAGCTTTTTGGGGCAGAAGCATGCTGTAACAGATTGCTCATACAGTGCCCAGAACAAAGAGGCCTTGATTGCCATTGAAACCTCATGGCACTAGCTTAATACAAATAATGATCCATTGAAACCCTGGACTTCATGATTGGGACCAAGAGTTATTTTCTCCTACTGAAGAATGTTGAACAATTAAACTGAATTTTTTTTGGTAATGCAAGGCATGGTTCAAATTATTATTTTTTTTTTTTTGTGATTCTTAACAGAATGGAGGCGAAAGAAAAATCACACTCAGGGAATGAAGACATATGTAGTGAAACAAGGGAGTTACCTTTAAAACTATGTTACCAGAATCATGACTGCTCTAATGTATGTCTTGCCAACAGACCACTGAACTCATACAAGGGAGAAAACCCTCTTAAAATGCCAATCCTGTGTCATTTCCAGAGACGACATGCAAAAGCAGACTTGCTTTCAAAGTCACTTGATGTGAATTATAAGGCCCCCTGTGGGAGGAGTCTGAGAAACTTTCAAGATGTGCAGAGTTACCTGTTTGAAACAGAGTGCAACTTCTTATTTGTCGATCACTTTTCTTTCAACACATACGTACAGCTGGGCAGAAACACTCTGAACCGAGAAGCACTTGTATTTGATTTTGATATCAGCAATGGAGCAGAGTCTGTACCCATTTCCTTCTGTAACGAAGTTGACAACACAAGATTACCTTATTTTAAATATAGGAAGGCCTCATGGCCACGTGGGTACTATCTGAACAACTTCTCTAGCATGTTTCTTGACTCATGCGACTGTACGGATGGCTGCACAGACAGGTAAGTAGAAAAAGTTGACCTCTAACTAAAGCCCAGTCATATAGGTGCCCTGAATAACATAAAGGGAGACTGTCAAATTTACTGTGTGCATTTAGCAATATAGTAACTTTGTCTAATAATACGCAGGGTAAAAAAAGCCTTTGATGGTCCAAATTAAAAGCTCTAGCTCCGCTGTGCGTGCAGAAGAGTGGGGAGCAGCAGATCCACTGCATGCTCCTCCCATCCCCTTGCAGGCTCTTTTTCCACAGGAGTTGAGACTCTCCAGTTATGTAGGGAGTGGGGCCAGAGCCAGACCAGGCATTGTTCACAACAACCCTTTGTGGCTATAAGAGTGTAAGATAATAGTGACAGAGTCAGTGTTATCTTCTGTTGCTCCCCAATCTGTGTTGTGAACTCTAGTCATTTTCTGGTGGGGGGAGGGAGATGCCGAAGCAGTGGCAGGCTCGGATGCCATGATAGTACAGATTTTGTTCAGTTTGTTTATTTTGTGTACTAGACAGTATTTTGTGTAGTCAGTTTTGCTGAGTCCCCTGGTGTAGTTAGTCCCCACTCCCCCTTGTTGTTTGGACCTTCTACAGGGCACAGGCAAAAGAAAAATTCTTAAAGAAGTAGGAAAATGTGACTGTGGACCAAAAAAATTGGTGGAGGTGGGCCTGAAACTACTTAAAAAAATAATAGGTTTCAGATTGACTATATTTAAAGTTAGCTTTGTCCCTTTAACCACATCCTTATTTTCACATGATAGTTTACTGTTGTCTTTCTAGGTCAAAATGTGCGTGCCTACGGCTGACTGCAAAAGGCTGCAATGAAAATTCTGCCTCACCAAGTAACAAAGCATCTTGTGGTTACAGGTATAAAAGGCTGGATGGACCTGTCCCCAGTGGGTAAGACACCTAGAGTTTACACTGGTATTTTATCCACATTCAGTTACAGTATTCAGGCCATGCTTAAACAGCTTTTGGTTAGCCAGCATCTTGGGAAGGGATGGGGGGGAAGCGTTCTAGTGATTGTATTGAATGATCATGGTGAAATGGGAAAAGTACTTTCGTTTTGAAAGCCACAGCATGGGGTTTTGTATTACAGGAATTATTTTTTTATACTTCAGCTTGCAAGGCTAGCATGGTAGATTTCAAAGCACTTTACAAAGAGATCACTATCTCCTTACAGATAGAGAAGCTGAGGTACAGACAGGTGAAGTGATTTGTCCAACATCACCAGCAGACCAGTGTCCGTGCTAGGAATAGAGCCCAGGTCTCTCAGGTTCCAGTCCAGTGCTCTGTCCACAAGGCATACTCCCCACTTAGAGTATGTCTACAACTGCAGTTAGACACCTGTGGCTGGCCTGTGCCAGCTGACTCGGGCTAAGGGGCTGTTTAATTGCAGTGTAGACATTCAGGCTGGAGCCTGGGCTCTGGGACCCACCCACACGGTAGGGTCCTAGAGCCTAGGCTCCAACCCAAGCATGTACACTGCAGTTAGACGGCCTCTTAGCCTGAGTCCCACGAGGCCGAGTCAGCTGGCATGGGCTACCTGTAGGTTTTTAATTGTAGTGTAGGCATACCCATAGTGCACGTACTGTGTGGTAACCTGGCATTGAACCTGGAGTTGCCATATCCCAGCTGGCTCTTGTATGACTCCTTACGGAATGAAAGCCCTCACTGAAGTTGTTCCAACATTTTGACAATCAACTCCACCCCAAAATGTCACAAGCTGGGGATATTGTAAAAATCAGAAAAATCCTAGAGTCCTTGACAGCCATGACAAAGTCCATCCAGATTGATTGTTTGCTCTTTTATGCTTTTAAATATGTTCCAAGAGTAGAAGGGAGTGCTTCGTTCAATCAGTTGTCAAGACTGCAGAATCTATGTTGCATAGCTTACTTAGGTAATATAACTATGGTATGTATTACTCACTCATCCCTGAAAATCTGATGGACTCTTGTAAGTGTTCAGTCAGGAATGGGGAAGGCTAAACTCCAGAAGTGCAGTGACTTGCCCATTCTTTTCTAACCAGATGTCTTTGTCTTTTCCGTGAGCTGCTCTTTTATTTGCTTTTGCCAGGTATGAACAAGCAATATTTCATTTTTAATTTCTTTTTTTCTGGCAGAATTTACGAATGCAACTTATCGTGCAAGTGTGACAGAATGAGGTGTCAGAACAGAGTAGCACAGCATGGTATCCAAGTTCGGTTGCAGGTATTCAACACAGACCGGAAGGGCTGGGGCGTCCGCTGTCTAGACGATATTGACAAAGGAACATTTGTTTGTACTTATTCAGGTAACCTAAAACAATGCCTGAAAGATTTTAGCACTGTCATTCTCAAACTGTACTTTGTGGAGCCCTTGCTAGAGGTCTGCAAGCTGCAGCATTTTAAGAACCAAGCAGTGAGCAGGATATGCTGGGTTGGGAGGCCAGATACATCCATAAAATCTGCTTTTGAGTGTGCACCAAAGAATAGAAAAAAACTTAGAAAACAACTGTAATCAAGTGGCGCTAGCCAAGCACTCAGATCATTCCAAGGCTAGATTTCTGTGACTCCTATCTCAAAGGTACTATCACTTACCCCACAAGCTTGTCTGTTCTGTGCTAGATTCCACAAGGACAGCTCCCTTGCAGAATGAATGGTGGTTGCATTGCACACTCACAAATAGTGGTCTTGCCCCTGCTAAAAATATAAGTGCAAGGTGAGTCAGAGTGAACATGGACTAAACTAAAAACCTGCTTTTCTTCTAGGCAGGTTAATGAGCAGAGCTGAGCCTCGGGAAATAGGAGATGTCGATCGTGAGGCCGAAAAGAAGGATGCTGTGAATGAAAAAAGTCCCAGCTCACTTTCAGTAAAGAGAAAACTGGACACTACTTGTTCAGATTCGGAGATTGAACTTGTCCAGACTGGTAAAGACAGCATTAACAGGAGGTGTGAAACTTTATCTCAGCCTGCAGATGATGAATATAAACCAGTTGTGTAAGTTGTAGTAGCAGATTTAAGGTAAAGATAGACTGTATGCTACTATTATAGACTATTCAAAAAAGAACTAGACAAGTTCATGGAGGATAGGTCCATGAATGGCTATTAGCCAGGATGGGCAGGGATGGTGTTCTTAGCCTCTGTTTGCCAGAAGCTGGGAGTGGACGCCAGGGGATGCATCACTTGATGATTCTGTTCATTTCCTCTGGGGCATCTAGCATTGGCCACTGTCAGAAGACAAGATACCGGGCTAGATGGACAATTGGTCTGACCCAGTATGGCCATTCTTATGTTCTCATCCCATAGCAATACCCACAGTGGAGCTTGAGTGTGTTCAACGAAGCAGTCTTTTTCATATTTTTTTAAGCTTATTTTTTTATATTTCTTCAGACAGGACACAGTTGTTTCTATGAATTAACTTTATTCCCAACCCATCTGGAACTGCCTTGGTATTTTCCAGAAATCACATTAGTCTCCTGAATGAATACATGTTTGTACATGAGCTCTCATGGTTATAGTTCATTATGTTAATTTGAAAAGGGAGCAATGACTTTCATATTTTTCTCCAACCGTGCAGTATTTTAAATTAATCACTAATTGTCCTGTCCTCCTCCTTTTCCCCCCAACCCTTCACTTCTCAGCATTTTGAACTGTTGTAGCTAGAGACACTAAGGTCTGGTCTACACTACAGGGTTAGTTCAGCGCAAGGCAGCTTACGTCGCCCTAACTATGGAAATGTCTGTGCTTAAATTTCACTCCCACCAAAGCAATAACTCCACACCCACAAGCAGCGTAGAGTTCAGGTCAGTGTAGTTAGGTCAACATAACACAGTGTAGACACTGCGTTGCTTACAGCGACTGTTAGTGGCTTTCAGGAGCTGTCCCACAATGCCCCGTGCTGACAGTACAACCAATACAAGTGCTCCTGGTGAGGATGTGCACCACCGACACAAGGAACACCATGTAGACATGTAAAAGCGATGTCACTACTGTGGTGACTGAATGACGATGTAAGTTAGGTTGACTTAATTTTGTAGTGTAGACATAGCATAAGGCTCTAATCTTGCAATCAGTTTCATGGAGATGTAATAGTGTGTTTCAGTGAGGGGAGCTCATCTCGGGAGCTTTAGCAGCCTATGAGAATTTCCAAAAGCAAATGATGGCTTGTCTGTAAAGTAAACTTGTTACTCTGGCAGCATGGGTGGCAGATGAAAGGGGGGGAGGCTAGCTCCCTGCCCCGCCTCTTCCACCTGCGCCCCACACACACTCCACCCCTGCTCTGCCCCGGCCCTGTCCTCTCCCCGCTTACGGTGTCTGATCACAAGACACGCCCCCAAAAAACCCTGTCCCTCCTCACCCCCCCCTTCCCCCGCCATCCAGTCCCTCACCGGGTCACCCACCTACCACATACCTCCTCACTCCTCCTGTTGCTCACCTCCTCACCCCCCGCCAGCTGCGAGACCCCTCCCCCGCTGCTCACCTCCTCACCCGTCCGCTGCGAGAACCCCACAAACCGCCACTTGCCTCCTCACCACGTCCTCTCCTTGCCCCTCCACAGAGGTGGAGGGGAGTGGAAGAGAGGAGAGACACTACGAGCAGTGGGGACCTCTGGAGAGGGGAGTGTGGAGTGGAGGAAGACTTACCAGGCAGCAGCAGATGGTGCGGCCCTTGAGGAAGGGGTGGAACAGGGAGGGGAAGGGGCAGGGCAACAATAGCCTAGGTGTCCAGCAGCGGGTCAATGGTGGCTGTATCAGGGGGCCTGTTATACTCTCCACCCATGTTTGGCAGGCAGCATGATGTAGTCTTTACAGGAAAAAGCCAAAAGTCAGATCTCCTGAATTCTATTCCCTGCGACCTCTGAAACTTTCTCCCTCAGTTTACCCCTCCATATAGTGGGTGCAAATCTTTAGTACCTCATGCTAGAGGTTTATTGTGAGGCTCTGTAAAGCACTTTGAGATCCTCAGATAGCCAGCTCTTTAAAAGAGCTACAAATATTTTGGATGGAATCTTCCCTGCACACTGTCTCTCAAAACACTTGGGTCAGACAGTAAATCAGGAGTTGTGAGCAAGGCAGTGACTGCATGTGTATATTTTCAATCGTGAGATGAAAGGTGGTGGAAAGCTACAGGAAGGAGGACAGCTGGTCCCAAATTTCAGGAGCTGTAGGAGAGAAGGCTTTTGCAGTAACATGGTCAAGACTGTGGAGAGTCAGAGAGAGGAGGTCTTTGAGGTAGGCTGGAGCAAATCACAAGTGATTCAGATACATATTTTTTGTATACACAAACTATAACTATGAAATTGATAGCAAAGCTGACACACGCTCGTTTCCATAAACGAAGCCAATTGTCCGTATTTAGACTTGCCTTTTCAGCACCACTGAAACCTAATCCTATTTGGAATGAATCACTGTATAAATTATATAGTTATCAGTGATTAGCCAAATTTTACTAATATTATACATAATATAAGATACAGGAAACACCATTTTTAAGCTATATTTACTACACCATTATGCTAGATTTTACTTGATTATTTCCAGTATTTAGAAGAAGAAAGATTCAAACTCCTGTGTTAAATTCCTACCGGCAGGGAGCACTTTTTTTTTTGTAAAGTTCCAAAAATAAAAAATAAACCATCAGACCAAAGATCACGAGAGAATGTTAACATGATTGGCATGGGGTCATGAATACAGGTTGTGTTGTACAGGACAACTAGACTGTAATCCACATACCAGTATCGTGTCACTGCATATGTTGTATCACTTCAGCTTCTGAACTTAACATAGGTACCGCAATCTTAAAGAAATCTAAAAGGATAATATTTTTTGCCTCCATCTGTAGCACAGGAAAAATCATGACCTCTATATGAGGGGTAGGGTTATATTAATTTTGTAGATAAGATTTCTGGAGCAGGGACAGTCACTTACTGTATGATCCTACAGGTGACTAGCACAGTACAGCTCCATCCTGGCTGATGCCTGTAGATGCTACTGCAATGTAAATGTCTCATAATATTAAACCAAAGCTGACTTTGAATAAAAAGTTTAATTTCTAAGGGTCATATCCTACCTTTCCCTTCTGTTAAGAGGGTGTGCCAGGGTGCTCCACTCACTGCTAGGATGGCGCCTCCTCCTGGTCACTCTGGGGAATAACCGATCAGGTCAGCACCCCTTCCCACAGTTGCTAGCCATCCCTCTGTCTCTCTCTGCCAGTCTGCAGCCCCTCTCTCGCTCCACAAACTACTGCCGCCTCTTTGTGACTTGGCCCTCCGGCCAGGTCACCAAATGGTTCCCCTTTTGCGTTGGAAAGTCTTTCCTTGCCAGCAGTCCTAGGCAGTCATTCCATTCACTGCCTTGTAGTGCTTCTCCCTCAGTGGCTGGCAGGGGAACCTGGGCCCACCTTCTATTCTGGGTACCAATTAAGGGACCCTTTAGTCAGCAGACAAGGTCTGTTCCCTTCTAGACCTTACTGCCTTTCCCTGATCCCTGTCCTACCTTCCTGGCCTCCTCCCTCTGTGGGTTGGCCAGCCCAAACACACCTCTCCTTCTCCCAGAGAGTGACTGCAGACTTTCCCAGCAGCCCCTTTCTGCTACCAATTTCCAGCCTGCCTTTATAGCCCCAGCCCAGCTCCTTCCTCCTCAGCTGGGCTCCCTCACTCTGTCAGGGGATTACTTGGCCACCTTACTCCTCTCAGTCATGGCCTGTTGGGTTAATTAGCCCCCTTCTTAGTCTGCAGTAACCCTTTCAGGGCAAGTGTGGGGTGAACACCGCATCACAGGGAGTTAAGGTTCTTTTAGTCTTTATAGGATTTTGTTTGTTTCAGTGGTATGTTTACAGTCTCTCTCCTTGCAAATAGTGCCTTCCAGTTTGAGGTATTAACAGCTATAGCACGGAAAACCCAGAACCCTGAATGTAGATACTCTTAGTTCAGTGATGAGCATGGTACAAGAACCTAGATGGATGAATAGATAGAATTTGGCTCTTGACAGGAACATTAAGGAAGAACTGATTCAGTTTGTTTTTAAAATGTCTGTGGGATATACAAGCAACTCTCAGTCTCCTTTAACAGTAAAGCATGAACAGTGTATGATGGACCGCCTTTTAAGAGTATCAGTGAGGCCAAATCCTGCAGTCTCTGCTGAGGCAAAACTGCCACAAGATTTCTACTGTCGACTGCAGGCTTTGCAGTCTGTTCTGTACAAACTGGAAAATATTAGCGAAATAGGTGTTGCAAGAGTTCTTTTATCAGTCTTTAGTTTTGCATAAAATCCTTTTGCCATCTCTGTGCAGGGTTCAGAAATATGGATATAATCCAAGGAATCTGAGAAGCCCAGCCATTAGGCCTAAAACCAGAACTGCTATTCTTCAGACTCGCCGGCTAAAACTGGTAAAAATGCCAAATAACAGATTGTATTCAAAATTCTACATATTCAGTGAAGTGGGAAGGCAGTTATTTATGACCTTATATCAGTACACACGGCAAGATTTTTTTTTTAAACAACCTTTCTTATTTGAATCTATCATGGGACTTCTGCGAGACAGCCCCGCCTGCTGCTGGCATCCCTTCCCCCGTCTCCCTGCCAGCATGTGCACAGTATGTGCTCCTTGAGCTGTCTCTGAGACTAGCACAGCCTCCTCACCTCCCTTCCCTTCCCTGTACATATACGCAGCCCCCAGGACTGTCTCCAGGAAACAACACTCCCTCAAATTGTAAGCAACTATCTCTCCTCCCTGCAACTGCAACATCTTCCATGTCCCGCCTAACTGATGAAATAGGAGAGGAAAAGATAAACACTTTTGGGAGCCAAACTCAAAGCTGCAGCATCCCTTGCTGCACTAGAGGTCAGGGTCTTATGCTCTGCAGCTACAGCGCAGACTGGAGAATTTGATCTGCCACATGGTCTGATATGGAGCGGCAGGAAGTATTCGCTCAGGACACATGCACAAGAGGAGGTGCTGGTCGCACGTGAGTTGGCCATGCTAGTATCAGTGAGTGATTAGCTTCACAGCTGATTCACGCAACATGTATGAGAGCTTCATACCAGAAACAGACAGACAGTATTGGAAGTTCCATGATTAGTCACTGGTTTGTAATGAAAGGGGAGGAATCTTGCTGACCCAGTCCATTTCAGTTAGCTCTGCATACAGAGCTAGCTTACGCCCTGATTCAGCAAAACACTTAAGCATGTATTTAAGCATGTGCTTAAAACCTATTGATATGAGTGGGAGTTAAAGTGAAACCCATTCTTAAGTATTTTGCTGCATTGGGGCCTGTGTTCTGGGAGGCTTGTCTCGATAATTCTGAATTATGATGTCTAGGCTTGGAATTTAGCCTGTTAAAACTCACTCAGTCAAAACAACAGATTACAGTAGATTTGAAACTTGAACTCCAGGGCCTTTAAGCCCAGTTGTCTTTGGCTCTTGATGCAGAGATACATAGAACACAGTACCTCACAACCTTATTTCTTTTAAGGGAGTCGCTACATTGGTGCACGATGCCAGCTCAGATGAAGATGAGAGTTCTCAGCCCCAGCCGTCAACCAAAACAAAACTAACCACGGGAACCAAAAAAGAAAAGGAAAGTAGGTTTGCAGAGCTATAAATATTACACTGGTTAGCACGCTTGTGCCCAGTCAAGCGATACAGTAGCACTGTAGAAAACAGTCTTTGAATGTGTGCAAACCTGTTCAAATGCCATATCTCTAACTACAGTGGCATTATCTGTGTAGCACTTAGTGTGTCCTACCAACAAACCTTAGCAGCCACTCAGATTATTATTTATTACACCATAGGTGTGGATAGTGCTTAAAGACTCAGAATTTAAAAAGAAATAAAGGTTCCCTGCCCTGAGTAGTCTACAGTGTAATGGCCTGATACTGTAAGATCTGAGCACTCCTGGAAAGGTGGTAAGCATCCTGTACTTCTGCTGTCTCCAGTGGAAGTTTGGGGAGGCGAAGGGCAGAATTGGGCTATTTTATTAGGCTGACACAGCAATGGTTTGCAATAAGCAAAGAGGGGCAGGGAGATATGGGAGAAAGAAGGGCACAGCTGTAAAAGATCCTGGGAAACATATGCTGTTGAATATGCATCTTATTAACACCTTATTAAAATTTGGGATGCTGTGCGGAATGCAGGTGGAGATTGACATTAAAATACCAGCTGGAAGAAGTGAGTTCTGAGAAAGGATCTGAAATAGGAGTGCGGGGAGAGACTGGATCATGCACAAGGTTTGGGGGCTATTCCAGGCACTGAGGGGGAAGCATAGGCATTTATGGAAAATGACATGGGAAGCAAGAAATTGAGCTGAATTATCAGTGCAGAGTGCTAGTGGGGCTTTAGGGAACCAGTAGAGGTGAGGTATGGATAGGGGCAGAGCTTCTGTTATGCTTCTGAAGGTGACAAGGAATCATTTGAGATCCATACATACCAGAGGAAATAAGCCAGTTCAGGAGTGGGTGGGCATTTAGGGTCAAATAAGCCAAACACATTTAAGTTTGCAATGTTACCCTTATTATCATTGCTGAGTCATTTTCAGTTGGTGCAAACAAATAATGTGTTCTTTTGATCTCTTGAAATTTCTGTTGATAGAACTCAAACTGCAGGAAAAGCTAGGAGAACAAGAGGAGGCCATGCAGTCTGAGCCAAGCATCACAGATACTGCAAAATCTAAAGAAAAAAGGCCATCTCCAGAAGATGCAAGAGGTGGTAAATCAGCCAGGCTAGATGATACACATGCTATGAAACAGTCCATGGACGTAATCCAAAGAGACGGCTTCAAAGAGGAAAAAAATAGGAGATACACACAAGATCCGCTCTGTAATGAGGAGGCAGAAGGTGATGAGACCCATCTGAAGAATTCTAATAAAGAAAATATTTATTTATTGGATGCCACAAAAGAAGGAAATGTGGGCCGATTTCTTAATGTAAGTAATCACTGGTAAATGTGTGTGCTGTTAAATCACTTTAATTTTTTTTTAAATTTGTTTATTTGCACAAACAAAAGGTATTAATGAGTATTTCAAAATTCGACTCTTCTCTTCTCCCAGGATGAGTAGTGTGTGTTTTTATTTTGGGGCAGGAAATCAAATAGCCCTAGATTATGAGGATTCTCTGTTTCCTTGCTGCATGTTGAATGGCCTTGCCACTGGGTGCTACACTGGATCAGAGCGTGGGCTGGATGCTTGACTAGATTGCGGGTCTCCTTTCAGCCCCATTCATATTCCGAGGCCATTGTAAACTGTCGTTTGTGTCAATTCAGGGATATGTTACATAATGCTGGGTGAAATTTCCATCCTTACTCCTGACCTGTACACATGTAAAAACTGTCTACTAAAGAATCCTTCCCAGGTTTCACACTCAACCTAGCGCATCCTTAGAAGGGACCTGGCTGTTCTAGGCAGTGCTGTGTAGATATCCACATTATCCATGTATATACTCAATAAATCTGCCAATTGATTTAATTCAATTGATTGAATTTTCAAAATGCTCCCAGCGATATGCGTACTAGAAACTCTCATCTGCACACACATAAGACTGGCCTTGTTTTTCCCATGGGCATTTATAGGTATGTCAAGCCAAAATCTGCACAAACGTTGACATTATGCTCCTTAATGTAGAACAGAGATAATGATAACCTGTCACATGACTGTCCACGTGCATACACCTGTGTGTGTCCAACTGCGCTTGGCAAAATTTGAACTTTATTTTTTTGTAATTTTGATGATTAATATCAATTTTTATTTAAGCATTTTTTCCCATTTTAAACCATTTTAATTTTCAGTTGTGAGAAATTAAGAGGGGTTGGGCTTAGTGCAGCGCTGATAGCAGGGCAGCAGGGGGCTGCCTGTGCAGGTGAGGGGCCTGAGATGCCAAGGCACAAGGAGCCAGGGAGGCTGTGGTCCTGGACCAGCCCCAGGCCAGGGCTGTGAGGAGCAGGATGAGTGAGTGAATGGGACCATGACAGCGAAGCTGCAGAGGACTCCCAGCACAGCTGCAGAGCCAGTGACACTTGATACTTGCAGGTGCAGGCTGCGGTCATAGAATCATAGAATATCAGGGTTGGAAGGGACCCCAGAAGGTCATCTAGTCCAACCCCCTGCTCGAAGCAGGACCAATTCCCAGTTAAATCATCCCAGCCAGGGCTTTGTCAAGCCTGACCTTAAAAACCTCTAAGGAAGGAGATTCTGCCACCTCCCTAGGTAACGCATTCCAGTGTTTCACCACCCTCTTAGTGAAAAAGTTTTTCCTAATATCCAATCTAAACCTCCCCCACTGCAACTTGAGACCATTACTCCTCATTCTGTCATCTGCTACCATTGAGAACAGTCTAGAGCCATCCTCTTTGGAACCCCCTTTCAGGTAGTTGAAAGCAGCTATCAAATCCCCCCCTCATTCTTCTCTTCTGCAGGCTAAACAATCCCAGCTCCCTCAGCCTCTCCTCATAACTCATGTGTTCCAGACCCCTAATCATTTTTGTTGCCCTTCGCTGGACTCTCTCCAATTTATCCATATCCTTCTTGAAGTGTGGGGCCCAAAACTGGACACAGTACTCCAGATGAGGCCTCACCAATGTCGAATAGAGGGGAACGATCACGTCCCTCGATCTGCTCGCTATGCCCCTACTTATACATCCCAAAATGCCATTGGCCTTCTTGGCAACAAGGGCACACTGCTGACTCATATCCAGCTTCTCGTCCACTGTCACCCCTAGGTCCTTTTCCGCAGAACTGCTGCCTAGCCATTCGGTCCCTAGTCTGTAGCTGTGCATTGGGTTCTTCCGTCCTAAGTGCAGGTCCTGCTGGGGCAGAGCAAAAACCCCTGGCCCGGGCTGCGAGGAGGCTTCCCCGCTGCTGAATGGCTCCTGCCCGAGGATGGCCCTGTACTCCGGGCCGTGACAGTAGAGCTGCAAACAGCTCCCTGCATGGCCACGGGGCCAGTGACACTGGATTCCTGCAGGCACTGATCTTGAGAGAGGCTGCCATTGACGGATGTTTTTTCGTCCATTTCTGTGTGTTAGGTGAAATCAATATTTACTGGTACCTAACTACGTAAATCAAACCCTGCCAACCCTCCCTAACTGTAAGCACTCCTCACCTCTGCCTGGCAATTTCCACACGCTTGGAATTGTTTTATTCATGCCTGTGCTCCCAAAGATTGCTCTCTTATCTGACAGCGTAGCATCTTTAATTTATTATTGATGGTGATGACTTTTGTTCCTGTGTCAAATTAAGAGAGAAAAATCTCACCATAAACTATTTAAGTGCAGATTGACAAAAGAACTTTATTATTCGAGACAAAAAATTGTTATTTTAGAAATGCTGGAGATAGTCCTTCCCTCCAAGTGACCTAATTATAGCAAAAACTGCTGCATGCTAAATGTGGGTGGTGAAAGAGTGGCAAGAGGGATGTCTTTTCTCTTTTTTTTTAAGTATGTTACAAATGTTTGGGGGTAAAACATATAAACATTCTACAGCCAGAGACTGAGCATCCTACTGATTAATTTTAAATCAATTATTTTGTTTCACAGCATAGCTGCTGCCCAAATCTCTTTGTACAGAGTGTTTTTGTAGAGACGCACAACAGAAATTTCCCTTGGGTGGCATTCTTCACAAACAGGTTGGAACTATCTTTTTTTTTAATGTTCATTCAAAGCAAAACTGTTAGAAAAGTATCACATTATTTTCCAGTAGACAAGTGTCCCAATGACAAAAAACACATTCTTATTGATCTCATCAGAGACCAAGGCCTGAATGGGTAAGGGAACTAAACTACGTTGTCACCACAAGAGAGATTTTTCTCTAGTGTTATGTGGGGAAAGCTTGCCTTGTGGCTTCCAGTGCTATACCTGTTCTGTGGAAGTATGGGCCTTGTCTTCAGAACTGTCCATTGGCAATCATTTATAAGCATTCTATTCACTGCACAAAAAATAATTGTTCCTTTTAGTATATTTTCCTAGTGGGTTGGCTCAGAGAGAGAGCATGAGGAACTTGCCATTACCCTAGGTCTTGCAGTCCTTAGACAGAATCATTCTAGAGAGCTAATGTGGTTCCATTAAAACCTATCCTCCAGGAATTCTTGCAGGCCACGAAGGCTGTGGTTATACAGCAAAGAAAAATCCACGGAAGGCCCGTGCCAGCCGACTGGGGTTGGGGCTGTGCGGCTATTTCATTGCTGTGTATACTAATGGGCGTGGAGTGGGAGGGTCCCAGAGCTCGGGTTCCCACCCGAGCCCGGAAATCTACACAGCAATGAAACAGCCCTGCAAGCCCAAGTCAGCTGGCATGGGCCAGCCACGGATTTTTTTTTTTTTTTTTTTGCCATGTAGACATGACGCTCTCCATATCCAGTGTATGGTATTCCAGGGTTTGATTGATGGTACGCTGTAGTTAGTGAGACTAGACTACTTCTACTGCCATTCAGACTCTTATATGGATTTTGAGCTGAATTTATGTAGCCATCAGAGAGAGTTGTGTTTGACCTCTGCAACCCAGATCCCAGGACCTGATAAAAGTCTGAGCACATCCTAGGTTTTTCTAATAGAACATTCACAAGTGGGTTGCACACTCTGTTGCTTCTGAGGCAGAGCACATTGCACACAGCAGGGGCTCCTGGTTGCATTCCTTCATTTCCCACCTGCACCCTTCACAGTTCTCTCTGTGCCACCCTCCCTTCATCCCACTGTTTCAGGAACCCCCTGCAAGTAGTTGGTGGCAAATTGCGAACACAGTACAGAGGTAGATTCAGTTAATAAACATATTAACTGACAGTGTTTTTGTTTCCTAGGCATGTGAAAGCTGGAACTGAACTCACCTGGGATTATGGTTATGAAGCTGGAAGCATGCCAGAGACAGAGATCTCCTGTCAGTGTGGGGTTCAGAAGTGCAGGAAAAAAATATTATAGAAAAATGTTTACAACTACCCCCACGTCCATGTAAATTTGAAATTCACTTGCAAAGGACTATACTTTGTGCAGCAGAATTACAATTCTCCAGTGGACTCATACAAGCCTGTGCGCTAGACTAATTTAATCCCTTCCAAGTAAGGGGCCGGTGCTGATGAGATGTGTGAATCTGATTATTTTTAAATGTGCCACTGCTTGCTTTTTCGTCTGTAGCAGAAGAAATGTGTTTGTCATAAGCAAAAGCATAAAACTGTACCTAGGCTATTTCTTTGCTCTGGGCTTGTTTTTTCTCATTCAAAAATGGAAGTGAGTGGCATTGTAGCTAATAAGACGTAAAGCAATGTTTATACAGCAGCCTCAGTCCTTTGGGTTTTTTTATTTTTAATTGATTGGAACTTGACTTCTGGAGAAAATATGGAAAGACCTGCTGTGTTTGACTGCTTGTAGCATCTTCTACAGCTTATTTAGTACAAGCTGTAGTCTATTATGAGTCATAAGTATGAAACAAGCCAGGCCTATGCACCTTCCCTTAGGCATCAGGGAATAACTTATGGTCTGAGTACTTTAGCTCTGAGTCAGCTCTCAGCACCACATGGCTTTGAGCCAGAATTGCTTGTTGCTGTAGAGCACAACAATATATGTAATAATTTTCAACTGATGACTTGCAGGAAGCTTTAGAGTAGCAGCCGTGTTAGTCTGTATCCGCAAAAAGAACAGGAGTACTTGTGGCATCTTAGAGACTAACAAATTTATTAGAGCATAAGCTTTCGTGGGCTACAGCCCACTTCATCGGATGCATAGAATGGAACATATATTTAGAAGATAGATATACACATACAGATAAGTTGGAAGTTGCCATACAAACTGCGAGAGGCTAATTAGTTAAGATGAGCTATTATCAGCAGGAGAAAAAAGCTTTTGTAGTGATAATCAAGATGGCCCATTTAGACAGTTGACAAAAAGGTGTGAGGATACTTAACATGGGGAAATAGATTCAATATGTGTAATGACCCAGCCACTCTCAGTCTCTATTCAAACCCAAGTTAATGGTGTCTGGTTTGCATATTAATTCAAGCTCAGCAGTTTCTCGTTGGAGTCTGGTTTTGAAGCTTTGTGTTGCAAAATTGCCACCTTTAAGTCTGTTACTGAGTGGCCAGAGAGGTTGAAGCGTTCTCCTACTGGTTTTTGAATGTTATGATTCCTGTTGTCAGATTTGTGTCCATTTATTCTTTTGCCTTGAGACTGTCCGGTTTGGCCAATGTACATGGCCGAGGGGCATTGCTGGCACATGATGGCATATATCACATTGGTAGATGTGCAGATGAACAAGCCCCTGATGGCGTAGTTAATGTGATAGGTCCTATGATGGTGTCACTTGAATAAATATGTGGACAGAGTTGGCATCGGGCTTTGTGCAAGGATAGGTTCCTGGGTTAGAGTTTTTTGTTGTGTGGTGTGTGGTTGCTGGAGAGTGTTTGCTTCAGGTTGTAGGGCTGTCTGTAAGCGAGGACTGGTCTGTCTCCCAAGATCTGTGAGAGTGAGGGATCATTTTTCAGGATAGGTTGTAAATCTTTGATGATGCACTGGAGAGGTTTTAGTTGGGGGCTGAAGGTGACCGCTAGTGCCATTCCGTTATTTTCTGTATCCTCACACTTTCTTGTCAACTGTCTAAATGGGCCATCTTGATTATGACTACATAAGTTTTTTTCTCCTGCTGATAATAGCTCATCTTAATTAATTAGCCTCTCACAGTTTGTGTGGCAACTTCCAATTTATCTGTATGTATGTGTATATATATATCTTCTTACTATATGTTCCATTCTATGCATCCGATGAAGTGGGCTGTAGTTCACGAAAGCTTATGCTCAAATAAATTTGTTAGTCTCTAAGGTGCCACAAGTACTCCTGTTCTTTTTGCAGGAAGCTGTTCCTGGTCCAGGGGAAGTTCAGGGTTTTCAGTGTTGTATGAATTCTTGCCACAGTTTGCTCTTAAACTGTGCACAAAAAAAGTCGTAAGAATCTGGCGATTTAAAAACGGATCATTTGTGGGACCTGCTCTATCTCGGTAGTCCCTTGACTGAATGACCCCAAATTTGCATCACACGCTGTTCCCCAGCTCCTGATACTGCACATACTTTTTCAAGGTAGCCTGCCTATGCCATCTGGATTTTACAGCAAATTGAAAATGCAGCTGTAAACAGAAACTCTATTGCAAGTTAACTTATTGTGTGTGGCTAGGTGCCATTCCATAACCCTACAGTGACCAACCGGGGCATTGGCTGTGCTGCTCAAGAAGGGGAGAGAGGTTCTGTTGGAAACCATTGTCCCTAAATTTGAAATAGAATGTTTTTCAAAAGTTATAGTTACAGCAGTGAGACACTTTACTATAGTACGTAAAGTAAAACTCAGTGGGGTATCAAGACCTACATAGTTTCTGAAGATGAGAAAAAAATAAATCCCCTAATTACAGCTATCCTATGAGGAAAAGTCTAACAGAAAATCCTGTAATGAAAAAGGCATCTTCAAAGATAACCTTCCTAAGAGGGATATTTGCCTATAGACTTGTAAAAAAGCTTCTTTCAAGTTGAAAGGGACAACTTTACACCAGTCGCATGATGTTGCTAATACTAACCCGAAGTGGACTGTATTTAGGTAAAGACAGCTGAGACTAATAAAGCAGCTAGAACATCACGAGGCAGTTACAAGCGGAGAATAAAGATTCTCCTGTTTCTGCTAGCCAGTCCACTATACAAAAAAAAGCTACGAGGAGTAAAAAACCCACGTCTTCAGATACATCTGAAGATGTGGGGTTTTTTACCCACGAAAGCTTATGCCCAAATAAATCTGTTAGTGTTTAAGGTGCCACCGAACTCCTCGTTTTTGTGGATACAGACTAACACAGCTACCCTCTGATAAAAAAAAATTGCTGTTTGATTTCCTGCCTATGGTGTGAAGAATGCAGAAGGCTGGCACAAGAGTAGACTATGAGACTCATATTAGATTAATGAATGTGGACAGAAGTCATTTAAATTAAAATGGTTGGGAATGGGTATATTTGGACAGTATGTGTCATGGACAGTTTTTTAGTGAGTGCTTTTGTGATATTCACCAAGCTATACGGGAAGGAGGATGAGCTGCTTGTCCTCTCCCTCAATCCATTGAGGGGGCTTCATTTACGTAAGGTTTCAGAGTAGCAGCTGTGTTAGTCTGTATCCACAAAAAAAGGAGGACTTGTGGCACCTTAGAGACTAACAAATTTATTTGCGCATAAGCTTTTGTGAGCTACAGCTCACTTCATCGGATGCAGTGATGAAGTGAGCTGTAGCTCACGAAAGCTTATGCTCAAATAAATTTGTTAGTCTCTAAGGTGCCACAAGTCCTCCTTTTCTATTTACATAAGGCTGCATATGTTAGACTAAACTATGGTCTACTTAACTCCAGCATGCCAAACAACTTTCAGCTATGTGTCTTGTGTACATAGATAGGAGAACACAAATCACTGATTAGTCTCTTTGCCACGACTGAAAAGTTCACCAATGTGTGTGCAAGTGAAACTCCAGGATAAGGCCCTGGAAATACAAATGATAACATTCTTGTAGGAGAAATGCTAGCTTTCTATTTATTTTTGGTGGGGCAAAAAGGAATACTGATGGATATTGACTAAGCCAAAGCTACTTCAGTGGTTCACCTTGTAGAATTTCTGCCAAATATTCCCTCAGAAATGAGGATTGGGGTGTGGGGGCATTTACTATATGGAGCTCTCATGGCAATGGTAGTGTAGCCATGCCACGGAATAGGCCTTTCTAGATGGGTTTCAGGTGTGGGTAGGCAGATGGAGCCTGGCTCTGTAGGGGGTTTTGGGAAGGAATGTCTTTTTCTGGCTGGAGAGCTAACTGGATTGTCAACTCCAAAAGTTAAAAAATCAGAGGATTGGCCCCAAAATAATATGATTTTCTTTTAAAATGTTCTTTGATTTTTGAGTTTCCCATGCCAACCACCAACATGCAGGTGAGAAGTGTTGCCAATATTCCAGGTTTATAGTGAGTAAGGTGATTTTGGCCCCAGCTAAAGGAGCTCTCACAACTGGGAGCCCAACCCAGATATGGGCCCCATTGTGCTAGACGCTGTACAAATGCATAGTAAGAGATGGTCCCTGCTCTGAAAGGTTTTACAGTCTAGTGCAAAGCATAGTGGTCAGTTTGACTTGGGATCTAGAATTGGGACTAACCAAACTCCTATAGAAGCTACCAAACATTCATTAGATGGAAATAACTTTTTAATCCCTCCTGAAACTGGGCAGAATTGAAGCCAGTAAGTGAAGCCAGTTCTCAAAATTGCATCCTCCATACAGTGTGACCTCTTGCACTGTGCATGAAAGGTCATGCTGACTGGACTGTTATCATGCTGATGGGGGCATTCAGTAGTACTGGAAATGAAAAGTGTCTGGGACACTTAAATGCCAAGTGGTCTTTGGGGGGGGGGAGTTTAGGAACCCCTGCTATAACTCATTAGCAATGCCCTGAGGCATCAAATCCCCATTGATACTCAAATTACAACTAGATTTCTGGAAAGATAAGTTTATTACATCAAGTTCTGACCTTTTAGGAGCTTATATAAGGATCTGGAAACAAGATTGCCCACACCTTGCTCTCAATTTCAAATACAATCTAAGGGCTTACCTACATGGAGAAATTGATCAGCAGTTATTCCAGAATAACGAATCCACAACAACTCCCCATGAGGACCCTCTATTCCAGAATAAAAGTGATTCTATTCCAAAATAATTAGGCTAGTCTACGCAGGAAAGTATTTTCAGGATAAGCTGCTCTATGTCTACACACACAAGTGCTTTTTTCAAAGTATCTAGTATCTCTAAATTAATCTATTTTAGAAACAGATTAAATATATATTGGAATGATGCAGCCTCATTTCGAATTAACTATTCTGCTTCTAGCAATCATCCCACTGCCATCCCACACTGCACACCTGGGTTGGCCT